CTGCAGCATATTGAGACGTTATTTCCTTAGCGGTGCCCCCAGCTTCAACCTTTTGGAAGAGATAGCAGCAAGAAATTAAAAAAACTGAACAAATCCTTTCGAACCTTTTCGCAAACAGTTTGGTGGGATACGCGCAAGAACACAATGCGCCTATTTGCTTATGGTGAGGTTTTCAACCAAGGCTTGCAAATAACGGGCAAAACAGAGATTTCCTTACTTACTTCAGTGGCATTAGAACCGCTTGCGCGAATATAACCGAATTTATAACATCACAATTCATATATATAACTGGCGCTTTATAACCGCTGAAGTGATTTTCGGACCTGCTCCTTCTCCGATTTGTGGTTTCGCGTCTTGATGTTTTTCCAACAAGTGGACCTACATTTTATACTAAGCCGCCTACGAACGGCTGATGGTTTTTTATGAGGAGCTTTTGATTTTCATTACAGAAATACACTCGGAGGGGTTGACATTCCCTGCCGTGGGGCGACCGCAATTAGAAAGTTTCATTTTTTTTATTTAAAGGCCATTAATCTTATGCAAAACATTTCCCTCGAAAACAAACTCCTAACGAGGACTCTTCAGCTGTTGCCATCCGTCCTGCCACTGCACTATACAGCAGGAAGGGATTTAAATGTAAGCGACTTTCGCTCGTCGAAAGAGGACTTTACTTTGCAATTGCCTACTCAGTCCAAAGTAGCAGTTCTTGAGAAGAGTGATCCAGCGTTGGATTTCTATGCTAATATTGCGGCTGGCATTAATACTGATTCCAAGATAGACGAAATTCTCTACGTATCAACAGAGACTAAAAAATATGTATTCTCATATTTGGTTTAACCCAATTCACTCTCTATGAGTTCTGATCTCTGAAAAGTTGAAAACTCTTGGCAGTAGTTAAACTTTGGAAATTACAATCGACGGTAGGTTCAATGATAAGCTCAGCGTGGGTTTCAAAAAGTGATCGCAGGCCTTTGTCTTAACTGAAACCGACACTGTGATGAACTGCGTCAACGTTCAGGAAAGGAAGCCACCGATGACTTCTCATTACTATTGTGGCTGCAGAAGTAGAACCTAAATTATCTGTATCGAGACTTCCAGGCTTAGAAAAATTGAGCAGAGGGTTCTCCGAAGTGGTGTTCTTTACATATGTATTTTTTCAACGTTCTAACACTCCCCGCATTTCATTCCAGTTGTTGACTGATCTCAGGCACCGTTGATGAAGGTAAACAAACTTTCTTTTCCTCTGATATCTTACTATTTCCTCAACAAAGTGATGGCGACACTTATTTTTACCAGCTAAACCAAAAACACTCGTATCATTCGAGAGTCTGCATTTCCTCGCTCCAACAGCGACTGAGAGGTACAGAGGAGCAAACGAGGTTTTGATTCGCTAGGCGGCTGCACTTTTGGTGTAAGAATAAGTAATTGTTGGTAAAGAGGATTTTTCATTTTCAAACTACGAAGTGCCTACCTCGTTGCTGTTGGCGGCATCTGCTAAAATTCGTTCGAAGCAGTACTAACTCCCAAGCATACCGCGGAGCTTTACAGACCGAGAGAAAGACAGACAGATTTTTATTGCTATATCCAGAGCTTTCATTAATATCTTAGCCGGCTTACTCTTTTCTTTATGAAAAGAATTTATACTAGTGAGCAGCTCGGTACTGGCTCGATGCTCAAAAGAGAGTTTGTAATTTTTAAAATTTGTTTGCAGAAATTTCTTTAGGATTTAAATGAGTTTTATACTTTGCATAATAAAAATTATTATTTATGTAAAAGGTTCTCAGAATAAAGTAAAAATTTGTATATAAAATGCTCACAAATTCTCGAAGTCGCTGGCATTGCTCAAGCTTGGACCCGACAATTTTTGAACAATCATCGAGGAAGGAATGTGTGAGCACTGGTTGTTTGGTCGACCTGCTCGAAATTGTTTTTAACAGAATCATAAACTCTAATTTATACTCACGTGCTATGCTTTCAGATTTACTTCTGTTTTTTGCAAAAAAAATTATGTAGATTTTTTTTGTTTTAAAAAATTTCATTTTTATTGATTTCACTTACATTTTTGGGTATACACAAATCACATGTAAATATCTTACTAAAATTAAAAGTTAACCAACAAATTACTTACATACACAAATATTGTTATTATGCTTCGTCTACTTAGACGTATTAATGGAAACTTAAATATTCAGAAGTATGTACGTAAATAAGAACATTTTTTCATGTAGCAGACTGATAAATTTTATGCAACATTGAAACCTTTCCTCAGAAGAAAAAACAAAAAAAAAAATAAATAAATAAAAACAAATCTTTCAATAAGTAAATAAATTATAAAAGAAATATATGTACTTGATTAAAGTGACACGAGTCTTTTGTAGAACCACAACTAAAATATATTATATTTTCAAAATTTTCCGGTTAATATTTACGGCCAATTTTTATATACTTTGCTTTGTAAATCAGCAAACTCACATTTTACAACTCGCATGATTTAAATTTTGAAAGCTAATACAAAATGTTAAAACAAATGTATCATGTCATCATTTTGTTGGAAACACTCTACCCAATTAAAAAAAAAAATGATGCAAAAAATTGTACTCTCCATGAATAAATTATATTTATGCAAAATAAATAAACTAATTTAAATTTTCTGCTAAATAACGAAATATTTTGCTTTAAAAATAACGTTTGTGCATCATTTTGCTAAATATCATATTTATCGGTACATTTTTACTTACATTTTCTTTAAATAAGTATTTATATGCTTATACAATAAATATTTACATACGTATGTATATTCAGAGGATTTATTATTATCGAAACTTTTCTATTTCATTTACTTAAACTTATGTATTGTTGTTACTTATATTTAAATTTGCTTTTTATATAAATATTATTTATTATTATTATATGAGAATACAGCTTATCGAAATATATTTATTACATTTATTATATTTTATATTCAGAACACACAGCCTTGCTTTGTTTTTCTCTAAAAAATTACATCAATGGGTATACACAATATTTAATTGCATGCAATTATTTAATATTACTCTCTATCCTATACTTATTTTAATATATAACACATAGTTTTTATTTTATTTAATTTACTTTAAATAATTTTATTTACCTTTATTTCATTTTATTTTTCGTGTTTATTATATTATATTTCAAATTTTATTTTATATTTGTTGTTCTAGTTAATTTTACTTTATTTTAATCTACTTCTTTTTATATTGCTTTATATATTTTCTTTTTCTTTATATTATTATATTATATTTAAGTTTCATTTAATTTTATTTTATTTTATTTTAGTTTAATTTCTTTTAATTTTTTATTTTATTTTATATTATTTTTCGTACATTAAGTTAAGTTTATTTAGTTTTTTTTTAAGGTATTTTAATTTAATTTCATTTTATTTTATTTAAGTTAATTTAATTTAATTTAGTTCATTTAATTAAATTTCATTTTTTTTTTTATTTTAATTCAATTTGTTTTAATTTAATTAGATTTTTATTTATTTTATTTTTTTTTGTTTTATTTTATTTTTTTCGTTTATCTTTATTTCATTTTATTTTATTTTTCTTCATTTGAATTTTAATTTAAGTTAAGGGAATTAATTTTAATTACATTTAGTTTGATGTACTTCCATTCAATATAAGTTTATTTTTGCTAATCATATTTAATTTCATATTATTTATTTATTTTGTTTTAAAATTTTTATTTTATTTATTTTACTTTATTTCATTATATAACTGTTTCATTTATATATAACTGTTTAATATATATTTATATATCTTATTTTAATTAAAGCTATTTTAATTTATTTAGTTTCATATTGTTTTATATTAACTTATTTTTTCATTCTATTACATTATATTTAGTTCTTTTTATTTAATGTTTTTTATTTTATTTTATTTTAGTTCAAGTTATAATATATTTTTTATTTATTTCATTTTGTTTTATTTTATTCTGTTTTATATTGTTCTATTTAAAATTATTATTTTTATTTTTTAATTTAATTCTTTTTAGTTTAATTTTATTTTATTTTGCTTCATTTAATTTTCTTTCATTTTGTTTACCTTATTTTATATTATTTAATTTTATTTTGTTTTTATTTTAATTAATTTTTTTAATTTTCATTTACTTCATTTTATCTTATGTTATAACATTTTATTTTGCTTTATAATATAATAATAAGTTTTAATATATTTTTTATTTATTTCATTTTGTTTTGTTTTATTCTATTTTATATTATTTGATATTAATTATGTTCTTTTATTTACTTTTTAATTTAATTCAAATTAGTTAAATTTATTTTAATTTAATTTTACTTCATTTTATATTACATTATTTTATTTTTTTTTATTTCATTTTAATTTATCTTATTTATTTATTTCATTTTATTTTATTTTATGTTTTTTTTTTTCTTTATCTTTATCTTATTTTAGAATAGCTCAGTTGGCATTACTTAACATTTTTTATGAACGCGTGTATGTGTATATATATTCTCTCTTAACTTATTTCTTTAAAATGCACTCTTATTTTCTACTCTATAATATATTTTAAGCCTATTTTTTCATTAAGCCTAACTTAATTACATTTTTAAAGCCACATTTAAACATTCAAAGCAATTACCATACAAGAATTTAATTTATATTTAAATAATATTGTTTATGTTTTTTGTTTTTCTTTTTCGGTTGCGTGCGCATTACGCTGCAATGAAAATTCAAATGCCTGCTCAAGGTTTGCTATGCCTTTAATTTTCATTAAAAACTAATGGTAATTAAATAGTATAGCACAAGGCGAATTGAAATTTAAGCTGAAGCAAATTTATTTTTCTCTTCTACTAAATTTCAATTAACTTTTGTATTTACTTTTACTATGGAAATTTGATTTGTCTGTGCGCTTTTCCTTCATATATTTTCTTTAAAATCTCTATTTAGTTATTTATATGTTTAGACTACATAAATTAAATAAATGCCAATTTAGAGTAAATGTTTTTTCTTTGAAATATTTGAATCACTTCTTTTATTAAATTTTTTCGCTTCATACAACCGCATTTTAAATTGAACTATTCTATTTTTACATTATTTTACAATCGTGACATTTTACAATTTTTTCTTGGAAAATATTACAGTAAATATTGTTGATTTTTGTTTGTATTTGGTTTGCTGTTCAAATTGTAGAAGTTTATTTATTGGCATCAATCGAATCTGAAACACTTCCAGCGGCCCACTGCCATATTGATACCTAAAAAATAAAAATAAAAGAAATATTTTATATTTTTTTAACTTATTTATATTTTAAGAGGCTTTTACAGTAAATATTGTGCATTTATAAATTATAATTAAATTTTGCTGAAACAATACTAGTTGTTGACGCACTTTAAAAAGCTTTTATTATTATTATAATTAATTACATAAATAATAATCGGTTGATATTTCCACTTAATGATCCTTATAGAAAAATTAACGAATTTTATTTTTAAAACTGGCGCCTTTAACGCCAGGGTGTGCAAAGGAGGAGTTTTCGAAACAACAGTCGGGAAGCTCAATCGTCCTTCGGCTGATCGACTTCACCGTATATTAGGATTCGAGCAGTGTGAATAGCTCAATGCTCTCTCTATACTCGATCAAAGTTCAACTCCTCAAATATTTTTTTGAACAAACAAAACAAAAAAATTTTCTATAGAATTTGAATTAGTGGAGCACTTACCATAAATGAATTAAAAAGGAATGTGAATTAAAAAACAAAAATTAAAAAAGTTTTGTTCAAAGCTAGAAAAGCTCAACTACGTATTCGTAAATATTCGAGTATTGAGCTTTGAACAGTAGTACAAGTATCCTCATTGGGCTCGAGCTGTGTGGATGTATTTGATTTTGTATATTGGATTTGGTGTCAACATAAAAGCCCTTACAAAAGATTGCTCCGCATGGTAACGCATGAGTCTAATAACTTTTTTAAAACTTCTTTTTGTGATTAATGTTTGGATAAAATTATCAAAATATATAGAGTGCACAATTGAAAAAATAATGTAAAAAACAGTTTATATGTAAAATATTTGGAAAAAAAATCTTCTCATAAGCAAAATGACTAGTCTACCAAAACACAATCCACACCAACAAACCAAGCAGCAACAACTAAGCTAAGGGCAATAATTGTTGAAATGAAAATCCAACGCTTTATTTAAGCAGCGCTTAATCAAAACACACTCAAGGACACCAAACACACATACAAATTTATATATGCAAAGAAGAAAGAATTATAAAAATAAATAAAATTCCACACAAGAAGTTCAATGAAAAAGTACACGAGTAGTGCACACTGGTGTTAACATCAAATTCCTTGCCAGCACATTCATTTCAGCGTCGAGTCATTCATTGCGTCTGGCGCTGCATTTGTCACACGAATTGCGAGCAGCGAGATCCAGCAGCAACAGCAGTGGCAAGTTGATGAAAAGAAATTTTCACTCACTTCACTTAATGCAGCTGATTTTTTGCTGCCACAACGTCAGTGCTGATAAAATTTATTGCAGTTTATTTTTATCCTGGATCAACAAACACATACACATAAACATACATATGCATGGACTTAGTTTGTTTTATGCTAAAAATATTTCGACTTAAGCTAAAAGATAAAATAAAATAAGACAATGATTTTAGAAGAGATTAAAATGCAAAAAAAAAAAATATTATGTCGTAGTGGCTGCATAAATACGAAAAAAGCATCAGTGCAAACACTAAGAAAATAGCGAAACAAAAGGAATAACAAACAAGTGGACAAGTGCATGGACAAAGTTGCAATGTGAAGCGGCTCCACACTACAGCACGACAACGACACTTTGCAGCGACTGAAAGATTTATCAAGCGATACCGACTATTGTTGTTTTTAAAGCGGCTTGCCAACCCCGCTCAGAAGTAGGCAAATATAGTCAATGTTGTCGAGTTCATCTAAAGGGAGGCCCATAAACCGAGCAATTACGACGGTTTCGGACCAGAAAAGGAAGTCTGGTAAAAGTTTTATCTAACACAATATACAGGCCTCTATTCTTCCAGTTTTAACTGGGTCTCGAAAAGCAGCTTGAGATCTTCATCAGATATATGCGGTGGTTGGTTTTCGATTATGAAATTCATGGAAATAGAGTTAATATTGGTAAGAGACACTGTGTGGTTAACGTTTAGGGTCTGTCGGTAGATCGTCCTGTCTTGCAGTCGTGTTAGGTAGAGCTGATAGGAGTCTGTAAAGACAAGTATTGCTTTCTTAATATGATTGGAGAGTGGTTCAGCTTCCCGCAGATGGCAGGAAGGGTTTTACCCGCGATAACATTCCTGAAGAAAATGCCAGTACTAGTGAAATCAAATCCTGATATGATCTTCGCTGTTCTTACAGGCATTTAGCTTCTTCATCTGCGTTCATTCTTTTGGTGACAATCGCAATCTTTCGGTAATTTATAGCTCACTTTGGCCGGTATGCTTCATCTGGCTAGTGAACAGGATCGCCGTAGATGCCATCTATTTGTAAATGTCGTAGAGAAGTTGGAAAGGCCCTAGATACATACTTTTCAACTTAGGTTATCAACAATATCTAGTGATGGGTGAAAGCATACAATACTGCAGAACTCCTTGAACCGACGACTGTCCACCACTCGTTTAATTCATGTCCCAACATTTTAACCCTCAAAATTATGATAACATCTATTTGATGCCTCTGTTAGCTCGATCCGCTTATAAAGATCTTCTCTATTTAGATTTCACAATCATTTAGCTTCAGTTATAGTCAGATATTTTAGCGTGAGCATACGTTTTCGGACCGGCAGATGGATCCGGAGGATTTTCTTTTATGCCATTGGTCCCTTAACATGAAAATATCTCGGAGATCTAATTTTAATCTGGGAATAGTAACAAAATCAACATATTTCGCTCGGCTAAGGGGCAGTGGGCAGACACATATGGATTGATGACTAGGAAGGTTCTTTTTTGTATGTTTGGAGGGTTTGGTAAGGAATCAAACGCTAAGAGCTATCCCTCTACGACCGAACTCTTAATGTGGACCCGAACTGTTTGCAATTGGACTACGTGAAGGAAGCAATCACCCTAAAGTACCCAGCTTTAGGCAACAAGAAGGGAATTGTGTTTTATCATCGATAGTGACTCGGGAGAAGCTACCAGAGCTTGGTTAGGAGGTTTTGATGATTCCACCTTATAGCACGGACATCGGACCAAGTGAGCTATGATTTAGCTAGTGAATACATTGTCTCAATTTTTTTATAAATTTGGACAGGGGTTCCGATGAGAGTGGCATGCTGATATGATTTTCAAATTGGCAAAAAGTGTGAATAGTTCCAACTTAATTATTCTTTTCGTGGGAAAAATAGTGTATTACTTCTTATTATTTTATTTATTTATTATATATTTTTTATATTTTTTTTTCTTGAAAATATTTTTACATCATTTTAGTGGACCCCGTCTTTTTAATAATTATTTATATAAGAAAATATTTATATATATTTAATTTTTTATTTTCACAGATTTCGCTTGACGTACTGTCGTCGCTTAAATATTGACTGTTTTATATTTAACTTAACGGCGACTATGACTGTGACATCGTTCAACTTCGTGGCTGAAGTTGATTTGCAGACAGCCACAATCGAGTGGACAGTGCAGTGCCGACTGCTTACATTCCTAATTGCAGTTTTCTTTTTTCTCATTCTTTGTGTCAACCATTAAATGTGTTGAGTAAATGAAATGACAACAAAAAGCCTGCATGATGAAGAAGTAGAAAAAAGAAATAAAAAATAAAAATATGTAGAAGCAGGGAAATAGAAAAATCACCACAAAAACACTGGAGAGCCGGATGAACTCAAGAAAGTAGCAAAGAAGCAAATTATTTGTATGACAACAATGCGGCGACGGATAATTGTCAATTTTTTTCTTTTTCAAGTTCAACTCTATAGAAATGTCTGCATTCAGCTCGTTCAGCAATCGTCCAGCAGCACGATGCTTGATTATGGTTGCGGTTGAATGAAATGCAAATGCGGCGTGATTAAAGCATGAATACATTGTGATGAAGAAATATAAGAAGCGAAGTTATTATTTTGTTAAGAACTTTGAATATTTATGAATCGTTAGTTTAAGTGTCATCATTGCAGTACGAAACTTAACGATAAATTTAAATTTTTTTAATTTATGAAGTCAAGGATAATTCGTATAAGATGGTTTGAAGAAACCATTAAAACTTGAATTTGAGCAACAAAACAAAGATCGCGATGCCGATACTGAGATTGCCAAATGAGATTGCCTTTGATAGAAGTAGCTTTGAATTGAATTTGAAATGATAAAAATTATTAAAAAAATTTTTATTTATAAGATCTTCCTACATTAACATTTAATATCCAAATCTTTTATTGAGCTTCTTGAAAGTGAAACTTCGCTTAAATTCAAAATTTAATTTCTCTTTCTATGCAAAACTTCATTCTTAGTACTGAAAAATACAGCTTAAATAAAATTTTTGCCAAACGCGCATTCACTCACTCGCCCCTCCTTCTCTCTCTCACTGGAGTGCTATTAAGAAGTCTTACAATTTATTTGCACGTGACTCAAATAATCATGTACCACAAAACAATTAGAATTAATTTACGAATTACTTTACTCATTGACCCTCATTAGTTGGTTGGCAATTACTTTTATTTTATTTTTTTTTTTCATTCATTCTTTTTGTCTAACGTTAATTACCGTTGTGCTTAACTATACTCGTACCGAGCTGTGCCACAAAAGCTCGGCAACAAAGCTAATAATTTAGCAGTAGTAGCAGCAGCAATGCTAAAATTTTCTTAAAAGCGAATGAATGCTGAAAATTAACTGCGTTGGTGATACGTTGAGGGGTTCTATATTTAACTGTAATGCTACTGATTAGCCAAAGGTGAGCTTGAAATTTAAATAAATTGGTTTTTTGATTACCTTCTGATGGCTTTTATAATTCATTCTATGTGGTGTTTTTAAGAATTTTCGGAATTTCTCGCAGATTTGCTTTCAAAAATTAAAGTTTGAGATGGGATTGTGAAGTAATGGAACGCATCTGCAATATGCTAAGTTACCGTAGCTTTCAGTTTTATTCGCAAAGGTTTTTGAGTATTTTTCACAAAAAAAAAACGCCTATTTGATCAATAAATTTAATGGCGATGAAGCTGGATAAAAATACCTTTCAGGTAGCCAAATAGTCAGCTACATAAATGTATTGAAAGCGGTAGCGAT